ATCAGGGTTTTTACACCTGTGACAATTACTAAATCAACGAAGATGGGAAACTAAAACTAAAACTACACACACCCAGAGATGAACCTAAATGTATGAATCAGATTAATAGTATAACTACAAAGAAGAACCAGAATAAAAAAAAGGAAAGTATTGATCCAAGTAATGCTGTGACACAATACTCTGTGGGGTTAATTCTAAAACTAATCATTTTTCTAAACAATCTTGAATTTACTTAAAAGTAACAATTTCTGATATATGCACTGTCAAAGCAAGCACAATAACAATTACTTCTAAACCTTTTTTTTTTTTTTTTTTTTTTTTGCAGAACTGGGGATTGAACTCAGGCCCTTATGCTTGTCAGGGAAGAGCTTATTCCACTGAGCCACCTCCCCAGCCCTTTCGAAACAATCTTGAACTTTACTTAAAGACAGATCCATGTTAATGTCATGGGGGTAATGTCTCCTGAATGTACTTCAGGACTGGGCAGATGACATTGCTGTGAGTCACAGATTGTGCCGTGGGATGAATGAGACAGAATGTGGAACAAGAGAAGAAGATTCCTTGTGGCTGCATTTGATTCAAAGTCTCAGAATAAACTCTCAATTGACCCATCACTCAATCAATAGATCAACCAGTGCCCCAGCTGTGCTTATTGATACAGTCTGGAAGCAAAGACACCACTACTGTTGCCCTAGATTCTGGCTTCCAACTGTCAGCCCATCCAAGGCACCAGGAAGTCCCGCAGAAGTGGCTGCTTTTCCCAAGGATCCTTGGAGAACTCTCCTCAGAGGAACTCTGCCTGGAACATACCAGGACCACAAGACAAAGGACAGGGACACCCAAACTGTAAAATTCCAGAAGGGCTGAACTTCCCTAATGGAAGTAGAAGTGAACTGCCACATACTCAGTGAAAAAGGACCCTGGCAAATAGATCCAGCCACACTATCCATGAAAGAAAGCTAGAGAACAACTCAGGAAAACTGTTAAAGTGAGATTGACAGTGACTGCCCTTGCCCACCCTCTGCCCTGGAGACCCATTTGTAGACCTCAGCTGTCTCTGCTCCCCGAGTCAAAAGTGACAGGAGATGTGGTCAGAGGATCAAGGTTCTGTCATGAGGCATCAGAAATAACCAGCCACAGAACGTGAATAATGGTTACACTCAAGCTGCCCTAACTGTGTGACAGCCATTTTGTCCATCTACTAAAATATGGGAAATGAATTTTTAATGCGGGACAAGACAGGAGAACAGGCCAACATCATCTTTTGGCACTGTTTCTCTAAGCAACTCTCCAAAGTGTAACCAGAAATTTTGCAAAACATAAATTAGCTCGTGTCCTACCACTGCCGAAAACCCTTCAACACCTCTCACAGTTCGCAGGCCAGACAAACGTGGGCTGTCTAACGGTGCCCTGCAACCCTTCCATTTCAGCCCCCACTGCTGCCTCTGTGTCCCAACAACCACAGTGAAACTGGATCTTCAAATGAGCCAGTCTCTCAACTGACAGCTAAACAGATGCCATTCTCCTTGTTGAGGTGCCATTCCTTTTCCATTGTCTCTGGCAGGCTAATTTCTGGCCATTCACTGGGCCTCTGCTGAGCAGCTATGCCTCCTGGGAAGCCTTCTCTCAAGGCCAGAGCCAGGATGGGGCCCCTTCCTCACAAAAGAGACCTGAGGTACCTCTCAACAGCAACCACCACTCTGCTACTCACGGAGGTGTCTGCATCTCCTAACTTTCCAGGGAAGAAGTGTACCACTCTATCTTGTTCTCCCAGATGGCCTCTCTGCTGTCATGGACACCAGCACTATCCAGCAGAAGGGCCTAGCACCTCTCTTGGGCACATGGTAATACTGTACTCTTTCTCAGGGCTGGGGAGATAGCTCAGTAGAATAAAAGCTTGCCTGGCAAGCACAGGGTCCTGAGTTCAATCCCCAGTCCTGCAAATAAATAAATAAATAAAATATAAATTAAATCTAAATAAACTTGTTAGGTATTTAAAAAAAAAAAAAGACTGTACTCTCCCCTCCATGTGGCCATGTGGCTTGTAAATAAAGGAATCCTTTATAAATACTAAAAAGCAACTAGTTCCCACATTATCCATCAGATATTCTCAGGAAACTTTAGGGCTTAGAAATGTTTCCTTTGATGGCAAGTTAATACAAATTTCTATTTAAATATTCAAGATTCCTATTAAATTAAAAGACAGACTTTCCCAAAAGTGGAACTGTCTTGATTAAATACGTTTAAACTAAAATTATGTACAAACTGGGAAGGTTCAGGGCACACTAAATAACAGAAATTTGAATAAAGCTCTGCTTTGCTATTAGTGGGCATCCAAGCGTCCTTTTTGGAAGAATTCTTATAAGTGAAACCAACAGAGAAGGACGTCAACAAGTACAGGCCACCCTTAAGTGCGGAGAAACATATCTGAGACTAAGACCTGAAAACAGACCTTTTGCTAAGGGAAGGGACTTTCTCTTTTAAAAGCACTTTCAGAGATCAGAGACCAAGATAAGGGCAGCCTAACATTTAAAAAAAAAAAAATAAGACAAGCCACATATCAAAAGGTAACATAACAATAAATGCACCCATGTTCAATTTGGGGGACTGGGGCCGATAGCTCAGCAGTCTAAGCACCTGCCTGCAAGCTCAAGGACCTGGGTTCAATCCCCAGTACCACATACCAGCCCCAGAACTCTAGACTCCCTGTGCAAGCCACCAAAACCGGACGTGGTGGCACACACCTGTAATCCCAGTGCAGCGGAGGCCGAATCAGGAGGATTGCTATGAGTCTGAGCTGCATATCGAGACTGTGTACCAAATAAATAAAAAAAAGATTTTATTTAAAAAAATTTTTTTGGCCACTGACATAAAGATACAAAAATTATTTTTAAGTAGTGATATAAATAGGAACTTAACTAAAAGTAACGTCCTATTTATAAAAATACGATAGAAATCAAGCTCCTGAATGAAGTATGACTAAGTAGAAGGGCTCAATCTTATACATACATCAAATGTAGCATGACATTTTGTAAAGTGAGCCCATGTCCACAGAACAAGCATCTGTGGAACACACATTAAATGTCAGTGGGCCTGACCGTGAGCAGTGGGACTGGGGGGGGGGGTAGCTGCTGCGTTTGTTATCAGGAAAGGGGGGTACAGTGCTAGCTGGAATAGAAAGAGATGGGCCTGCCCAACAGCCACAGGGACAGTGTGGCCAACTGCACAGTACTCTGCAAGGCAGAACCTGGAAAGCCAACATGAATAAGCAAATGAAGATCTACACCTTCGAAAACTTCATGGTCTAAAGGCAGAGGTTCTAACAAGTAAGCACAAGAAGGAATTCCAAAGTGCCCTAACGCTAAGGATAAACAAAGAACATTGAAGGGCAAGAGAGGAGTTGAGCCCCGCGGACCAGATCGGGGAAGCGAAGACAGAGACACTCACTCACAGGCTTTGAAGGACAGAGTTTGGTTGGCAGGGAAGGAAACTAAAAGTCTGACTGTATTGGGAATCACTGCTGTGCTGGGCACCAAGGAGGCTTTCACCACTGAGTCCCTCAGTCCTCACGTGGATCCCAGAAGGAATGGGTGTCACCAGCCCTGCTTTGCCAACTGGGACGCTCGACTCAGGGAGGCGGCCCTCTGCTCCCACAGTTAAGCAGCAGCAGAAGCAGATGTGAATCCAGCAATGTGAGCCTCCTGAATCTGCCAAACTCCCATTCTAGGTAAAAATAAATAAATAGATAAATAAATCAAAGCACTGAGGCCAAGGCTAAGAGAAATATGACACAGCATTACAGAAGGAAACTGGCATTTAATGAAAGCTTGTCATATATGATATTAGTGTTCCTGTGAAGCAATCATTATCATGTTTGTATACAATATGAAAAGTAAGGTTTAGATAGCTCGTCTATGGGGCTAAATATTAGCTAAGAAACAGAAGACAAGTGTAAGGCCAGGACCGAGTCCTGCCAGACATGTGACTGCGCGTGCACTATTTCATGTAATTCCCCCCGACAATTCCCCCAGCCAGGTGTGACTTTTTCTGGCAGACATGAAAATGAAATATCAAAGTTGGCAATGTCCTCCGAGGTCACGGTCCAGGGAGTGGCGGATCCGAGGTGTGATCCAGCTAGCCTGACTTTGGGGGCAAAGCTCTGCCTCCTGGACACACTCACAGAAAGAGAGCAAAGCGGTGTCCAGCCCCCAACAGCCTAGGATGTCAGACACGTGACCTCTCAGCCATGGAGGTCATGAAACACTTTCACTAGGGGGAACATGATCGAATACTGTTTTAGGAATAAAGTCCTTCAATAGACATATCAAATTCAATTCTAGGTGCATAAAGTTTAATGGCATGCATCTTTCCAAATAACGGTCCATCACTGGTTTGATTTGGTATAATTAATTTACCCAAGAAGCCAAAGTATGTAATTATTCAGCAAACATTCACCCATCACGACCCTACTGTCTAGCCCGCCCAACAAGATGATGTAAGGCTCTACTTAACATAAAGCATAAGGATTCACCCAGCGCTGTACCTTTGCCAATTTCTGTTCTCAGTGGAGTGGAGACTGCAAGGAGAGTACCTGATCTCCCAGAAGCAAAGACAGGAAGGGAAGGGAGAGAGTCACGCCACTGGAGCAGGTTTGCCCTTGGCATTCTGTCTGGACTTTTGGTTACCAAGAGCAATGTTCTACACTCAACATGGTCCCCAAACTAGGGAGCCAGGTGGCCCGGCCCAGGTATCCACCAGGCAGGCCAGCATTCTCCAGCCAAGGGCACAGTCTGACTCATCCCGACTTCGGAGGTCGATTCTGAGGAGCCAGGAGTCCCTCAACTCCTTCCTGCTTCTCTGTCTTCCATTGAGCCCCTGGTCCCCTGCGCACCCTCCGTCCCCAAGCCTTCCAGCCTCCCCTCCAGGGTGAGCCCACTGCCGCCTGAGCTCCTTCCTCCCGCTCCCCTTCCTCCCCTCAGTCCTTGAGCCCCGAGACTCACCAGATGCAGAGCCAAGGGTAACAGCAGCAGAAACAGCCACAGATAGAGGTGGCAGCTGTTGGTGAACTTGCTCTGCTCGGGGTCGTGGTACCAGCCGCCGGTGAGCGCGGCCCACACGCCCTGCCGGAGCAGCTGCAGCACCTGAGACACCATCCCGGCGGCGCCCGGTTCAGCCCCCAACGCCCTGGGCTCTACCGCGCGCGCGCTTGGGCCGCTCCCCCGCCACCCCCGCCTCCGCCCTCCCCGCCGCTGCCGCCCCAGCTGCTTCTCCGCCCCGACCCGCAGACCGCGGCTCCAGAGGCCGCCGCTGCCGCCGGGCAGGTGGGCGCCATGTCCGAGGGAGGAGGGATTTTCCCATCGTGCTCCGCGGCAACCGCGCTGAGGATGCTCCCGAGGCCCCTCCCAGAGCCCGCCTGACTCTTCCTGAGGCTGCGCAGGGTCTCTGAGACCCTGGGCCACTCTTCTCTTCTGCGGCTCCCATGCTCTTTCTCCCTGACTGTCCTTAACGGTGTTCTTATGTGGAAGGGACAGACCAAGGCACATTCTTTGGCATGGTTGTTTTTTGCCTGGGACACCAATAATAGATTTACTTAAACTCAAGATCCTCCCACACCGCACTTAAAATAATTTCTCCCGACCACCGCCAGTGTCGCTGCATTTCCAGGACTCCATGCCTCTGCTAGTCTCAGCTATGCCTCATCAGTTCACGCTAAGCCCCACCCCCGCGCCCTTTTTCTCCTGATTTCACAAGTTTTGATTAGGCTTCTTGCCCTTTTCATACATTTCCTACGTCATTCCAGGTAGCAGCTGACTCTTTAAACCAACCTCTAGTCTAAGGCTTTCTCTACTGTTTAAATGGAAGGCCCATGAAATGGGAGCACTGAACTAATAAGCTTTCAGCTGTTGTGTATTTCACGACTTAGAGCAGATCCCTTCGGATTCTTTGCTGAGAGCAGGGTTTGAAAAGAGAGTCAAAAGGGAATAATGCTTCCTTAGGAATGAGCAGAGGAAGCGCTGTGCGTTTGAGGCCTTGAGAATCTTTACTCTGTGAGCGCCAAACATGGCTGCCCTGTGTCAGCCATGTTCAGTTCATCTTCCCAAACACATCGTACTTCTGGGATGTGTATCTCTGAGGATGGTCTGGCCTCTTGCTTCTGGTCTGCAGCAACATCACTGCCCTGGCCAGGCCTGGAGAAGGCATGCCCATTTCCCGAGCTGAAGTGAGGTGCGGAGGAGCCTGCCCTGAGGAAAGCCCCAAAGAATAGAGGAACCCTAGGCCACAGCAACAGCCTCAGCGTGACTGCCTTGGGTCTGAGCCATTCTGAGTCCTGTTCTGCATTCTGTCTAGGGGTCACTGGTGGAAGTCCTGTGAGTCCACAGCTTTCTTCTTTCAGAGTTACAGAAGTGTTTATGTATCTCCTCAGTGTGTGACATGAATCAACCCATCACACACACTGAAGACCACTTCTCAGGGTCATCTCTATGGTGTCAAAGAATGACCATGTGACAGGAGAATTCCTGCCCTCAGGAATTGTCCTTGTCCATCTGCCCTGAGTCATCAAATACATATTGAGCACTCTCTGTGTGCCAGGCATTTTGCCAAAGACTGAAAAAAAATAAGCATAAATATGGTCCCTACACATTGGGTTCACAACCATGAAGAGGAGACTTGCAGTAAAACATGCTGTGTGCTCTAACAGGTATATGGTTTTGATCCAGAGACGTGAAAGTTCTAGAATGCTGGACCGGAGACACAGGAGGAAGGGAGATGTCAAGGAGCCCAGGGAACTGGAGCCTTGGGCTGAAGAGCTGCTTTCCAGATACGTTTCGTAAATGTGAGTGGCTGTCTAGGCAGACACAAGTACGGACAGGGAAATGTGACAAGTTGAGGAAAATGTCAGGGTAGTCTAGCATGCCTGGAGGAAGGACGGTAGAAGGGGGAAGAGTACACAGGCAACTTACCGAGGTAAGCACAAGTCAGCCTCCGGGGCACATAGAGTTCTTCAGATTACATCCTAGGCAGTGGGAGGCTTCACACAGGACCTGATATATTGGTGGCACAAGGGGAGCACTGAGCACCTGAGCCAGCAGAAAGGGGCCTGGTGTGACTTGGGGCTTAGGAGCCAATTCAGGCAGGCCTCTAGAGCACTGAGCTATTTCCCCAGCCCCTTAAGGAACTGATTCAAGGTGGTGGTAAAGGAGTGCGATACCTCGAGGAGCTCAGTTCTTGGCTGGGGTGACTGTGCCCTCGCAATAGTTTGATTATGAAGAGTTAGCTGAAAAAAAGACTATGCTGAATTTGAGTTCCTCGGGGCTTTTGGGTATAGTGGGAAGAATATATTTCAGAGCACAGGAGAATGGTCTGATGCAGATATGTGATCTTCGGAGCAATTCCAGGCCATGCTCTGAATGGCAATGACCATGCCCTGTAGAGTGAGGGGCTAAGAGACAGTCCACTCACTACACATTACAAGCACTAAACACACAGGCAGGAGGAAACAGGAGATACAGAAAAGAGGAGGCTGACATTACTAGATATACAAAGCAACAGTTCAAGGAAGAAGTAACTTCTAGCATCATGTGACAAAGAAGCGACTAAATGCCAAGGCTAACACGGTCAGGAGGACTCAGCTATGGGGAGAAGCCCCAGGTGACAAGGCCATAGCAGGTTCAAGGGTGGGAGAGCACGACATGACCCTGGCCAACTGCAGAGTTGTAAAGGAGGTACAGCCCAAGGAAGCTTCCCCTCAGCGGGCTCTTGCATGGGCTGGGTGGGATCTAAGCAGGGGCATTGTTGGTTGGGACAGCTGGCTTTATTTTGACAATTAGCTTTCAAATGAAGACGCTTAAGCATGCCTCCTGTCCTCTGTTCTGCTTTCCTGGCTGTCATCTGTTCCCTTGACTTTCATTTCAAAGTGCACATTGATGACTCTGAAGTCTGAACCCAGCTCTGTTTCTCAGAACCACTGGTTTGTAATGCCCCTGATATTTATAGATACAAATATAGATGCACATTTTTTATTTTATTTTATTTATTTTTTAACTCATTAACTTTTTTGAAAATCAATAATAATTATACAACAAATTAAAATTTATAGACAAATATTGAAATGTGAAAGATATAAGATGTAGACAAAGTGAATTTTAGAAAAGTTTCTGAAATGAATACATAACAGGAGGTTAATAATAGTTTGAACATTGTAAAAATTATTTACAAACTTCAATGAATACAATAATAAAAATTGTCTAAATAAACATGAAGAAGAGTTTACAGATCAGTCATATAATAGTTCATTCTAGGCCAAAATCAAGAAACTTACATTGATATAATTAGAATTCTCAGAGTAGAATGGTGTAGACAATACATATTTAAAGATTTAAAATTTCTGAATTTAGTTAAAATTGTAGCACCAATTTTCCAAGAAAAATGAACCTTTTGCAGAAGAAATATGAATAAAGATACACAAAAATGAAATTGTCCAAAACTAATTGTAAAGAAAAAAATCATTAAAGCATATACATAGAAAAAAACAATAACTATGGAAAAACAAAATTAAATAGCATCTTACTCCATATTAGGAAAAGAAAAAGAGCAAGTGGGTAAGAAACTAGAGTTATTTATTTAAGGGACTGAAAAAAAACCAAGCCTGTCCTCATTAAATTTTATACTCAACAAACATACCTTTGAAAACTAAAAGTAAAATATTTTCCAGTAATAGAAACTCAAAATATTCTAATACTTCCAGATGTAGTATATAGAAAATAACAAAGACCATAATCCAGGAGGCAAGAGAAGTTGCTGTATGGTCCTGGATAAAGAATAAAGAACTCTCAAAATGGTAGTTATGCAGGACGATGTAAAATATAATTATATTAGATGAACCCACATAAAAGGTCATTGCAGGTTTCCACAAAACAGTATCATAGATGCATATATTTAATCAGGCTGCATATACAAATACAAGCAGACTGTTAAAGGGAAACTCTCTTTTGTAGAATGATACTTTCCCAAATGTACTGAGCTCTGCCCAAGCTAAACACAGAACATAAGTAATACCTTTTATTTCTTGCAACTGTATATTGTAGTTCTAGAAGTCGAGTGTGAAGCAGAAAACATTGATTGTGAGGAGAGAACGGAGGAGGAAGGGAGCGGAGTTGGGGTGGGGGAACAGAAAAGAAGGAGAGTGGCCTTTACTCACTTTTACCACTAGGTGGCAAAAGAACACCGTTCCAAGCGGTAGGCTAATGTTGCTTGTGAGTACTTACTATATTGCAGTCAGGACCTTAAAAACAGAGTGAAGTCAATACTCGTCCCCCACTTACACAAATGACAACTCTTTTCACCTAATTAGCTCATTGACAGCTTATGAAGGCCAGTGTTTATCTTCTGTGTGTTTTCTGGGGGATTTAATTTTTTTCTTAACCTCCTGTGTAGTGTCTCTGAAGAACGGAAAAATAGAGATAATAGAAGTCAAGAATATTCCTATTAATAACTGAAGAACTTGTGCACATATTTTTAAAAGAACTAAACATTACTTACACATTAAATGGGCACATTATTCTCCCACTCCCATAATGGTAAAAGAAAAATTAACCTTAAAATAGACCCTCTGAGCACCGACTACATCACAGAATAAAGAGCTGGTGGACTCACTGTCCCACAAAATCGATGACCACGCAGGCAACGCTACTGAAACCAGCCACTTTAGAACCATTGATGTTAGACAAAGCAATGGATCAAATCAAAACCAGCTACAGAAGAGAAACGACGGAACCTGGGGAGGACAGTGGTGACCTTAAACAATTATAACGGCATAGAAAGTTGTAAACCTTGGAGATACATCATAAATATATTAGTTCCTGCTCAATCAATCTGTAACTAACTTAATCCCTATTCTAGAATCCCAAAGGAATAAACTGAAATCACACACCAAGACGCAGATGACTCTGATGGCAGATGAATAAAGCAGCACATACTATGTGATTCACTTTTCTGTTTTGTTTTGTTTCTTGAGACAGGGCCTCACTCTGTAGTTTAGGCTGGTCCGGACTCACTATGTAGCCCAGGCTGGCCTTGAACTCTGGGCTATAGTCACTGAGCCTGAGGCCTGTCTCAGCCTCCCAAGTACTGGGGATTACAGGCATGCACCACT